TAAAGCTTTAAAAGGCTGAGAAATATCTTACTCTGGACGTTTCTGGCATTCTGGTTTGATGTGCTTTCACAGCAACGAGGTGATATTTAACAGAGTCTGATAGCTACTTGTAATCAACTTACACATTTGCATTTATTTTTATGTATATTTCTTTTTAAGTATATCTTTTTGTTTTTTACCCCAATCCTAAAGCATATCTTTTGAAAAGTCTCCATGTTAACTTTATTTTTGTTGCAATTGTTTTTATTTTTAATATTTTCAAGTTTTACCTTAAGATTTTTAATTGCAATATTTAGAAAATGACATTATTCTATATGTTTTTCTACTCATTAAACAAAGATGCCAGCGACAAATTTTTAGACTGGCTCATCTGCGAAAGGAAAAAAAATTCAGGGAGTTTTTCTTGCTCTGGTTTGTCCTGAAAGGGACTGACATTTTGGAGAGATTGGTTGGGGGCACATCTACTACGATTACAGCGTTTGGGGAGGGGAAGCTGTCCCACTTCCAAACTAGTAAAGTTTTAAAACTTTTGAATATTAAAAACAGAACAATGAAGTTTTCTTTTCTTTTTTTATAATTGTCTTTTTAAATCGAGGTAACACTGACTTATAATACTGCATATGATTCAGGCATATAGGACTATTCCCTTCAGGTAACACCCCCACCACCACCACTACTAATAATAATTTGTAAATTTTTTTAAATAATAAAAAAACTGGAATCCAGAAATCGAGCAATTTTTAAAAGATTTTTTTAAATGCCTTTAATTCCTTTTAGTGAATGAAATTCATATGGTAAAGGTAAAAAGTAAAGGTAAAATGTAAAAATAAAAACAAAACAAAACAGAGGTATCTGGAACACAGAAGTACAAAAAGATAGAGCTCTTGCCTCCTAAGTTCCAACTCCTTCCCTCCACAAAGAAATCTTCTTAGAACCAGGACTTTGGGTGATTTTCACTAGGTAAAATGAAACATTAAAGCAGCCTACATTGCCACAAAATTAGCTAAGATACAATGTACAAAAAGTGTTTCCATAGTAGGTCTAAGGCTGGTGTCCTTAGAAAGAACTTAAAGCTTAAGACTGGTGTCAGGGATGGCCTGACTGGTGACTGGGAACTGGGCTGATAAACAGCTCCCCATTCTGATACCAAACTTCTCCTGATAAAGGTGGTTCACAATAGCGAGACTGTACAAACAAAGAGATTTATGCAGAATTCCTACTTTCCATCCAGGAGCCTGGAATTTTAGTTCATGGTAGGCCGAGGATGCTTATATGACCAGCCCCCAATAAAAAAGCTTGGGTGCATAGTTTCATGCATACAACACATGTCACTGCTGGTTGCTGGAGAATTAAGCACATTCTGTGTGTCTCCTCCGGGAGAGGACTCTTGAAAGCTTACATCTGGTTTCCTACAGCCCTCACCCCATGCACCTTTTCCCTTTGCTGATTTTACTTGGAATCCTTTTACTGTAACCAGTCTTAGTTGTGAGTGTAACCAACCATCTGCTGAGTCTTCTCGAAAATCATCAAATCTGTGCGGGATCTTGGGGATACCAACAAACAGGGTTTCTCTTACCTCCAGATTGATGCATCATTAGCTCCTGACTTAAGTCGTTGACATTTCTCTCTAGATCAGGGTGAGGTTTTCCTCTTCTTGTTTACCATACAAATTAACCATCCTAAACACCTTTCACAAACAGGCATCCCAACAGATTTGACTTTTAAATAGCTCGAACTATGTTTAAAGTCTCCGTGTAACATCTCGAGGGTTATCAAGGTTTTTCTTAGCAGCCCCACTTGTCATGGCAGGATAGCACCCCCAGTCGGCCTCGGGTGCTGAGGAAGAAAGACAATTTAAGAACCCGAGAAAGACAATTTAAGGCTGGTGCTCTGTGCTGAGACACCTCAGACTCTAAACCTAAGGATTCCAGCCCAGGGTCTCTGGATCTGGTGAATGGTTTCTGCAGTGTTGCTATTCACCCAGGGTACGTGGTCTCTTATTCCTCTATTGTGAAAGGCATGTGATCTAAGAGGTAAGGAAGCTACCAGCTAGGTTTCCAGGAGCAGGAAAATCCTGAAGGGCTCCTACACTTTGAAAGAAATCCACATAAAAGATACCGAAGGGTAAAGAAGAAGTGAACAGAATTTATTTTCTCAAATTAGGAAGCCTGCTGGTGCCACTCAGCAGATGCGTGCAAGCTGTGTGTAAAGTTAATGGGTTACATCTTTCTGGATTTGAAAAAACTGCCTGAAAAGTGCTTCTTGGGGTGTGGTGTCTCTCTTAGATCGTGCACGATGGTGTAAAAAGTCTCTCTACTTCAAGGAAACTAGATTTTTAAAAATGGTCCCATCTCCTCTAGAGTTTTATTTTTTTTTTAACAAAGACAAGAATGTATTGACTTCTTTAATCTATCCCTAGAATCCCTGTGTCTTCTATTATTTCTCAATACAAAAACGCAAATGTTATAGTTTATAGCTTAGTCTCCATTAGCTCTTACTATATAGGCTGGATGTATACTACAAAGATAAAAATATATATTTAGGTCAACTATCACCATAGTATTCTAATGTCTGGTTTTAATTTATCTTTTGAACTTTCTTTCATGTACATGACAATTATTTGGGGGGATCTGAATGGGCATTAGCTTTTCTTTAAGGAAAAATTTTAAAGCCCTGATTTGAAACATGACTGACATATAAAAAGGTAATGAATTTGATGTGTGTATGTGAAACTATCACCATAACTGTGCCATAAATATATTGATCATCTCTATAAGTTTCCTCCTATCCTGTTTTTTTGTACGAACACAACATAAATCTACCTTCATAGCAATTAGTCAAAGTGCACAGTTATATAAGATGAGTAAGTCCTAGATATTTACTTTACAGCAGAGCCTACAGTTCAAAATAATGTATTTTCTTAAAATTCTGAGTAAGATAAATCTCCATGAGGTGTCCTGGAGCTGCCTGAGGGGTGTGTTTAGTGTAAATTTGCCCAAACTAGGGAGAGATGATCAACCTTTTATGACATTTGAGAGGCTCCTGCATCTCAGCTTTAAATCCCTGCATCAATTGTCTCAAAATCTGGTGCCCAAAGTCCTTTCTCATTCCTCTATGGTACACTTGTTCCACTCTTTGGAGCTACCTCAAATCGTTTTGGAAGAGAACCCTAATATATCAATAAAATACATACCATTGTTACTCTTAACCTCAAGTTTAATGTAAACGTAGACATGTGTAGCTAGAGCCATCTCTACAATTACTACCTTGCTCTGCTTTCCACCTGCAGTTCCACTTCTTAAAATTGCCTGGGTCCACTTGACTCAAACCAGAAATCACAAGTCATGATGTGATTCATGGCGATTTTGTTGGTAGGCAGGTTGAAAAAAGGCAGGGTGAGGGCAAAGGTCAGTTATCATTTGTTCATTCAAAACCAGTTCCAAATAACTATATTGTGCATTAAAGATAATCTTTCCATGTAAGTGCACATGGAAAAAAGTTTTGTGCACATAAAAAAGTTTTAAATTCTCTAGAAAAACTATTTTTCTTCTATTTGATATGATTATCATAATTCAATCCATAGAAAAGGAACTGGGTGGGAATATATTAACATTTCAATTCAGCTCAAAATAACTTAATTATTTTCTACTTCCCTTTATATTCACAGGTGCCCCCCCATGCAACATATGTGTAAACAAAGGATTTTTATCTCATGCTGCAAATTATCTCCTACTCTAATTGGAAATCACTTTAATTAATCATCTAAAGAGACAGGCAGTAACCAATTCTTGCTTTGCTGAGTGTTACGAAGAGGACTGCAAGATTTTTGTAGGCATCATTAACTCTGCCTGATGAGGGTACTTTGGGAAAGAGTACAGACTTCCTAAACGACATGAAACACCAGAGAGTACTGTTCAGCTTATATATCAACGATTGGTTTAAGTAGAAACTTCTAACATATTGAAGGCTTTTGCTAAGGAAAGCATACCAGTGAGAACAATTTTGAAAATACATTTGTGTAATTTAAAGTTGGTAAAGTCATATTCCTATTTGATTGCTATTTGTTGCTATTTGAATCACAGCTAAATACAAACAATACTGGGTAGTCAGTTCACCAGGTGCATTTTAAGATTTATAAATCCTCTGACATCTAAGGATAAACAAAACCATGTAAACTCAATGACCATTAAGAAATCTGTTGAAACGAGTTGACTTTATCTTCTTCATAAGAACTACATCTGTAGAAAGAGATTTTTTTGCCTTTCCTGCCTTTTTAGGCAAGTTCATGGGTTCATAAGAAAACTGATTCTCTAAGATGTGGTGCCGTGACAACCTTGGAACCCCAGCTGTCTCGTGCAGTGTTGCAAGTACAGCTAATTGGCAGATTCCCAACTCCAGAAATGAAACTACCTTCCTACCCACAACCTGTCCTTTAGTTCTGAAAAGTTAAAGAAGATAAAGGGGAAACCTCAGAAACATCACAGCTCATAGAGACTCAGTTTAATATACAAAAGATCTCCAGTAATTAATGCAGTTTCTTCCCCCCAAGCTGGCTCTTCAGGGCGTACACCCAAGGAGGGGCTGTTCCATCTGACTCATTTCTATAATTTCTCCCTTAAGTCAAATGACCACTCTTCCTGCCAAATAACTGACAATCAGTATATCATACAATAGTCATAAAGGACCAAGCAGGACCCAAAACACTGATCACGATCAATATCTTATTAACAGAAAGAAAAAATATATCAAGAAAAAGTCAGCAAGAACCTGGGAATTTGTGACTTTTGTGAAATCTGAAGTTTAATATGTTTTTGAGCTACTGGCATTATTTTAGGCAATGACCTCTACCTGAAGAGATAATAAAAGATAAACTCAAAATCCAGAATGGAAATCTTGAGAAATGCAAAAAGCACCAAATATAGTTAATCAAATACAAAACTATAAAGAGACTTGAGCACATTGATCATGCAGACTCTAAATTATAAAAACCAGGAAAAAGGTAAATTGCATAAAACTTTTATTTATTAGCAGTGTATTTTCTACACTTTAAAATAGAACAAAATATCTTTTAGAAGGTAAACTATTCATAACAAAATACATGTCAAACAAATTTTATTATTGGAGTAGAATTACTTTGCTATATATTTTCTATTTTATATACATATACTTCTTGGTTTCTCTATGTACGCACATGTGTATAAGTAAATTTAAGACGTACACATGTAGATACATAGAACATATACACACATAATTATGGAAAATTTACAACAGTCAATTTTACAATCATTTTAATAGCTGCACACAAATTAGTGTTCACCGAACTGAAACTGTCCATATGGTCCCCTTCCCCACTTCTCAAATATCATCTGAATTACTTTTTATTATTCTCTTTCTATACAATTAACCAATCATTTTTACAATAACTCATAATATTCCACTATTTCCACTTTAGAAAAAGTATACAGTGTAATTCCACATACTGTAATTTTTCATTCCTAAAGCATACACTTCCTTTATCTGTTTAGTGCAATTATTTGGTACTGCAGTTATTGATAGTTAAGTTAACCAACCTGAGTTAAATTCATTCAAATGCCTTTTTGAAAAATGTAAAACATGAGCAAGATATCTGAAACATGTATAATCGTCTCAAGGTACCCCCTTCAAATCAATACATTATACATAACTCAATAGTTGAGAGTAAAGCACTTCCTATGAATTCACCTGTCTCTGAGTAGTCCATTCTTAAGCAGCATGGAAAAGAATCATACCTAATGCTCCTCAATTCCACAGAGAAACAAAGCCCACAGGATTTGGGAGCCCTAAATATGTGATCACACTTAGGCAAAAGGGCTGTGAGTACCTGGAAGAAGTCCCTTCATTTTTATGTCAGGTTTCTGATATGCTAGTCTCTGTATCTGGGATTGTAATCAGCTTTAAACACAGCTTCTTGGATACAGCGAACCACACAGCAGCATTTTTTCTCCATTTTTTTCCCTCTGAATTGATTAAAACTGGTGCCAGAGCACGTGTGATTACAGGCAACAAAAACCTTGTACCAAAAGCAGAAAATCCTAATTGGGTTATGAATTCTTTTGAGGGGAGGAAGAAAATAAAAGCATTTGGAATGTTGAGTCATTTCAAGGAAAAAAACCATGGTTTCAGGAGAAATATTCAGGGAGTTCTGATCCTCAATTGGATATTAAATTTAGTCAAAGCCCCCAAGGATGCAAAACTAAATGGTTCAGCAACAAAAACAAAAGGATAGGAAATGGTTTAAATAAGCCATATCAAATGATTATACTCTTGCTAGAGATAAACTTGGATAAACAGTTATATTAGATTGACTTCCCACAAGAATGGTCTGATCTGCCATATGTAGTGGGAACACAATATCCACTTTCTTCCTCACTTTCTCTTAATAAAGAGGAATTATTTATTCATTGTAGACAAAATTGTACTAAACAAACCCAAAGTACAAATTTTTTGGTAGCAAACAGCAAGAAAATCTAAGTCAAAATATAGTCTAGTTTTTACATAATTTTATATATTTATAAATTTATCAAAATAAGTCTTTTAAAGTCCACAATACATACATAATGTAACACTGTACATGTAAATGTAATAACAAATGTATTACTGAAATACATTAAAAATAACCTTTCAAAATATCAGTTCAACATGAAAACTGTCTTAAAAAGTGTTGACATCTCCATAAACATAATTTCAGTGCATTCAGAGTAGTCATTAAACAGAGTTTCTGGTTTCAAGTCTCTTGAAGGTCTTAGTGCTCTCGTTAATTTAAAGGAAGAAGGCAGAGAGATTCTTCCAGCAAGCGGCTGCTTTTCCTCTGCATTGCGCATTGGATGAAGAAACTAAGAGTGGAACAGCTTCACCAGGGCGGCAAGGCCTTAGTAATGAACATATTCAGACTGAAGGGACTGTGCAGGGAAAAACATAAGCTGAGGTTAAATTCCATCCCATACAAGACTTTCAGTACATCAAACAGCTTCTTTTCTCAACACAAAGCACTTGCGGTCTATTCTAAAATGAAATAAACTAAGAAAACAACAGAGAAAAGGGAAAACAAAGCATTTACTAAGTAAGGATGAAATATTCAATGACACAAAGTGATTACAAGAAAACTTTGTATTTTCACACCTCCCTGGTGGCAGTGAGGTTGGGTCTCAGCACTATCATGCTATCAGTGCTGGGGCCTGAGTTCAATTGCAGGCCAGCAAGCTACCTACAAGGCGCAACAGACCTCTCCTGTCTTGCCTGCTGCTCCCCTCAACAGCATATTTCAGTAGATCCACCTGTTCTGCTCCCCACTCTGTCTCTGGTAGATCCTCTTACCACCCCATCACCTCTGGCCTACACACCAGTTCTTGAATGAATAAACAAAATAAATCTAAAAAAAAAAAAATCTTTATATTTTCAAAGACTAATTAATGGTGATTAAAATGCAGTCATTAAAAATTAGGAAGTAGGGGGCCTCCCTGGTGGCGCAGGGGTTAAAGTGTCATTGCTATCAAGCTATTGCCAGCTACTACATTTGAGTTTGATCCCCAGACAGGAAGCTGACCCACATGACGCAGCAGACCTCTCTTGTCTCACCCCCTGCTTCCCTCAGCGGTGTATTTCAGCAGATCTGCCTGTTCTGCTCCCCAATCTGTCTCTGGTGAATCCTCTCACCTCCTGTACCTCTGCCCTGGACCCCAGTTCTTATATGCATAAATAAATGAAAAAAAATAAATCTTTAAAAAAAATTGGGTAGAGCTCTTGTTTCTAAACTTTTATGTGATAGTGAGCTTTATTCAAAATATAAAATGACATGTATAACTAAATTGAGATTGCTAGAACGTACTTTGAGAAGATAAACACTTTTTACTTAATTTAATGCACACCGAATGAATGGTAATGATCCTAATGAAGTAGAATCAATATGCATTTAAATAACTTCCCCAATAATGTTTTAATTTAATAATTACTAATTTTTTTTATTGCGAGGGATACAAAGTACTATTAGCTTTGAAATTTGATCCCTTAAAACCCAAAAACATTTATACAGAAGTGCCTTATGGTCATAATAATCAACGGGCAACTTTCCAGAAAAGTAAGCAATGCAAGAACCTTCTACTCTCATTAAACACTAATATATAAAAGGAACGTGATTGGGATATGGAATCAGAATGTATCAGTAATAGACATAAACCAGGAAAAGATAAACAGAGCTACAGAAATTTTGCCAATAGTTATTTTTGAGCAGCAAATAGCAGTTAGAAAGAAGAAACATAAATCAGCCTAAACATTAACATTTTTTTGCATAATTCTAATCAAATACCTTAGGCTAAAAAAAGTTTGCCTAATTTGCTAACAAATGCCCCTTTTTCCTTCCCCAGTAATTATTTTCCAAATTAATCTGCAGCATTTTATTTAAGAGTCTTATAAATTCTTAAACTGGTCCATTTTGTTAATGGGATGTATAAATATCAGTAGAAATAAATCTATTTTAGTAAAGAACTTACAAAAGGATCCAAACTATATCCACCTTTAAAATCCCAATGAATGGGGGCCTCCTGGGTGGCGCAAGGGGTTAAGCACCGCACTACGAAGCAAACCGCAGCCTCTGCAGCACAGGTTCAATCTCCAGCCGATTAGGGAGCTACACACATGGCGCAGCAGACCTCTCCTGCCTCGCCCGCTGCTCCCCTCAGCAGTGTATTTCAGTCAATCTGCCTGTTCTGTTCCCCTCTCTGTCTCTGGTGAATTCTCTCACACACACACCCCACCCCACATCTCTAGCCTTTACCCCAGCTCTTGTATGCATAAATAAATAAATCTTAAAAAAAAAAATCCCAATGAATGTTAAACCCTATCACCGTTTACTAAGTGTCTATTATCACCATGAGTCAAAAAATTATAGTTCCTACCTTGAAAGGGTAAAAGATAGGCATAAAATGAAAAGACAAAGGTGTCAACATTAAATAATAATATACATAGAGTAAGAGTAACACTGATTAAAAGCAAAGGATTAGGCAAGGGATGGTAAGGGAAGGGGTTGGGGGTTTTGGATGCAGAGTTTCAATGAAGCAGTTAAGAGCTGACAGGAAGAATGGAGAAGGCTTAGCAAGCTTTCTCGTTATAAGTTGTAGTTTATGACAAGGTTTCAAAATGGGAGCAACCCCAGGAATTAGGGCACTAAATATAAATACATCTGAACTCACAGAATAAAAAAGGTAAGTCTCAGAAGAAAGTTCAGAGAAAATGGTTTTTCAAAGCCTCGAAACCCATATACATGTAATTTATGAGACATTAGTTACCATCCAAGCAACTACAGCTTACAAGTGGACTATCACTTTCCTAGGTGTTTTTCCCCAGTTTCTTCTGAAGTCTGGCAGGTAGTCAGAGAGGGCAGAGTCGGGCGGTCTCCCAAGCTGCAAGGGTGCCAAATGTGCATGCCATACCGGCCAGTGCCTTCTTTGGCATATTTAAATTTGATTTTTGTTCCAGTTAGAAAAGTTATTCATGTTATTGCAGAAATTATGAAAATCCTCAGACTGCTTGTATATTTAGCCAAAGTTGTTAGTGCAAACACCTTTAGAGTGCTATCAATTCTCAATAAACAGATACAGCAAATGAAACTTTCTAGGTCAAGTCATTTATGTATGCATTAACACGTAAGGGTAAATATCTGTATGCACATATACTTATTTATTTTATGAAATCATGAGGCCTACTGAACTGGAAGACAAATAGCCTAGCCTAGCTTAATGGATTTTTCTATCATTCACATGAAGCCCATTTTCATTAGCCTTTGGGCAGTTCAGAAGCCTTTTCTTACACACAGCAGAGGTCAGAAACTCCGCCTGATGTTCAATCCAGCCCTTAAATATATTCTTTCACCACCCAATTTGCTCACTTCTGTAGCCTACCTGGCTTTGCAGCTCCTGTTAACAAATGAAGACATAATTGGTCTAAAGAGCAGAACTTCTGTCGGGCTAGTTAGTCCATTTGACAAATACTTACTGAACACCAGTTGTATATATTAGGTGTGGGAGAGATAAAAATACAATACCTAATTCCTCAAAACAAAATATATTCCCTTTTTTTTTTTTAACATGGTGTAAAGAACAAGAAAGAACAGATCAGTAAAAGGGGTATAATAAATTATTCTGACATTAGTATTTTATAACATGTTCACTTCCTTTCATTCTCAATCTAAAATAAAAATCTTAATGGAAGTGGACTTTGGGAAGAGAGAAAATGATTCAAGTCTACAAGTCAAGTCTGGTTAATCATAACTAATATTTCAAAGCCTTTTCATTCAGGAAACAACCCTTCTGATAAAGATGACATGGAAACTGCAAACACTATCTGCTCATGTGATGGAATTATACTGAGGATCTCAGGTTTATTTGCTTTCCTAATGTCCCTGAATTCTAAATTTACTAATAATCTCAGAAAACACAATATTAACATTTTTAATTTTTAGAATAAAAATATACAAATGTATCATCTACTCTATTAACAATATCACCAGTGCTGTTGATCTAACTGTTCAATAAAGAGATTGACTGAAGTACACCTATGTGGAATTCTTAATAAACTTGATAAATTACTTGACAGGTGATTTATTCTGTCATAGATACTTAGTGAGTACTTTCTAGACACCAGGCACAGTTCTAAACATACATTATTAATTAAATTTTCCAGATAACCCATCTTGCAGATTAAAAAAAGGGGGGGGGGGCATAAAGCAGTGTAGTATCTTGCCCAAGATCACAAAATTAGGATGTGGTGGAGCTGGAATTTGAATTCCAGCAATCTGATTGTAAAGCCCAAAATCTTAGTCTCCATAGGATAATGCCTGAAGACACTTCTAACATGTGTCCTGTGAAAACCACATATTCAACTGAACATTTTCTATCACCCTGACACAAACTGAAGCAAGTTATGATTTTGAGTAAGCAAAGAAATATTAAATTACAGAAAAGACTGTGACATCTATTAATGTAAAAGGCATAACTACATTTTAAAGTCATTTTCAACATGACTGAACCCACAAGAATATTCAGGAATACTCTAAAAAGAAATTTTCTTTATAAGAACACCCACGCTTAAATATTCTGATCATTGATTAATTCTGCTTGGGCAATTTTTTTTTAATCATTACTATTAGAATTAATACCTAATGCATCTGAAATACAAAAACAAACTAACCAGCAATGAAAATGGGTATGATTATGCAGAAAGTGAGACCTGGGGTATAAATATTATTTCATAAGATAGTACTTATTTTTATGACCAAGGGATTTTAATTTCTCAAATAGAATATTCAAATTCATGTGTTTGGGAAGTTCAACAGGGTGAAGTTATGACCAAATGAAGTTTATCAAAAATATATGGTATTTTCATGGTATTCATATCATAAAACTAAACACATCAATATTCAACCTGTAAAATAAGGATAAAATTACCTTACACTTGCAGCCCCCAAAATTTTATGTCAAAATATAAGCTTCCATCAAGAAGTCTTGTTCTCTGAAAGCAGTTAGATTTGACATAAAACACAGTGTTAGGTAAGGAGATCAAGACAATTTGTTCTGTTCTGGAAATTTGCTATAATCTGTTTTGGCAGCTGTAGGTAGTGACTTTAAAAATTTAGCTATTCTGGAGGTGTTTCTTTTTTAAACAGCCCAGTTACCTAATCGCGGTACAAAAATGTCTAATAATTATAGACTGTATAGATGCTTAATAAATATACTACAAGTTGACTATCGGAAACAGCAAATTATAAAGAATAATGCCATCTTAAGGTCTGTGCCAGCAAAGGAATAAAACAACATCTTAATGTTCAAGCAACTTGGACAGAAGGACCCAGCTGCAAGGAATGTTTCCTCCTAACTTAAAATTCTGACTCAAAACCCCTATGTGCTTT